TTATTTCCGCCACATTCATCACTTGTCCTGCAAAACATAAATTTCATAGAATTAAGCTATATTCCAACATATTAATCAACAATTGCTCATATTTTGACAGTAAAATAAGTATGTAAAACGTACTTATCAAGACTAGGATATGAAATTGTAGAATATTTATTCAAATTTTCATTAAATTGAGACCAACTATAACTTTCAAACAACAAAAGGAGAAAAAAAAAAAAAGCCATTTCAACACAGTAAAAGAACAAAAGATATGGAAATTATTTTCCCATCCAAGCGGAAGTTCAACGAACTTGAGGAAAAATTTATGATCAACAAATCACCAGAAAAGTACTAGTAGTGATGAACTCTTCGATGCGAGAACCATCTTAGTCCTTGTACTTCATCTCAGACATCTGGAAGCCAGGCATGTCAAAAGAGCCTGAAAACTTCTCGACATCAGCCTTGAGTTCCTCGATATCTTTGTTGTTCACCAGACCTTTGTTAAAGTCCTTCAAAAGCTTACCGTGCTCCTTCTGGATATTCAAAGTTACGGTCACAGCCCTGTGGAGGAGTTCAGCAATCTGCTCGAAGTCTTTCTCAACCAACCCCCTTGATGTCATGGCAGGAGCACCTACCAACAGGAAAATTCATCAATCATCTAGAAAAAAGTTAATAATGAAGCATTAGAACAATTTAGTTAAAGATGTAAAAAGTAAATTAATGGACTGGGAGCTTCATGTGTGAGTTCTTTGGGCAATAAAAGTGCCATCTATAGCTCAATTCGAAATAATCACGCTTCATCCAACCATTTTATTCATCAAATATCACAAGAAATCAGGATCAGAATTTGATGACGCAGCAAAACAAGAAAATTGTTGATTAACTGATTCTACTTCCACTTCCAAGAATGTCAAGTGGATCTTAAGAGTTATATTTCCACTGTTTCAGCAAACTAATACAACTATGACTTCAAAAATCTATAAAAAAATATATTTTCTAGTCACTGCATGAAGCAATCAATAGACTATACACATTGTATTTCTTACCAATGCGAACGCCTCCTGGAGCCAATGCACTGCAGTCACTGAACACAGCATTTTTGTTAACAGTAATGTTGCATAGGTCACAAAGCTTCTCTACCTTGTTCCCTGCATAAACATCAGATGTTCGGAAAAAATGGAGATTAACACTCAGTAAATTGTAAATACTAGGTAATCAAATTCAAAATGCCAGTAACTGTCAATCCAAGAGGGCGAAGATCCCACAGAACAATGAGGTTTTCAGTTCCACCAGTGACAAGCTTTTACCCTTTGCTCATGAGATAATTGCCAAGGGCAACTGCATTAGCCCTATCTTGCTTAGCATAGGCCTTAAATCCAGGCGATGCCACATCAAGAGCACCAATCCGGGGGTTGTGAGGGCCACCCTGCAGAGACGGGAAAACAGCAAAGTTGATCTTGTCCTCAAAGTCATAAACTGCATCCTCAGGCTGACGGACCCTTCCTGTAGAAGATCATACCAGCCCTAGGACCCCTAAGGCTCTTGTGAGTGGTAGTCGTAACTATGTCACAATACTCAAAAGGATCCGGTGCTTCCTAAACTCATTAACATTACTGTAGCGATCGAGAACTTTTAAATAATATAAAATTAGTTTTCTCGAAAAACCTGTCGCTAAACTTTAACCCTAATTTTTT